TTTGTTTTGTTTTGTTTTGTTTTGTTTTGTTTTGTTTTGTTTTGTTTTTGTACCAGGAATCAAAGTCAGGAACCTGCAGTTGCCAGCAGGAACTGAATCGCTGAGCTATACCCCCAGCACAACATGCATGCTTTTTAGAACTGTACTACCATAGATATGTTTCACATCACAGTCTGTTAGAAGGCCCAGATTTCCTACACCTAAGCAGAAATGCTCCCGTTAGAATCTGCCTGACAAACTATTACATTCACCATTAAGAATACTTTCAACCTTCCTGGAATTTTACTTTTTTGCTTGTGTTCGTTTTTCTCCAAGAATAATATTGACTAATATATTTCTATTTTAAATTCATGGGAAAAGTTACACTACCAGACTAGCGACTTAATATAGCTAATGAACCAACTGTTGATAGGTCCTACAATAAAATTCTTACAAAATGTAAGAAACAGGAATAATGCATATTTTGTTGAATTGAAAATAAAAAGCACTTTTATTTATAGTATATCACACCTCATTAAATGGTGGTTTTTCTGAGGATTTAGAAAACATGTCACATGTTTTCCAAGTAGAACAACAAAGCTACAACTCAGAATGTAGTGACACCTAATGGCTAAGATATCTCTATAAGCCAAAAATGTATTTCCTCATAAACATGAAAACTGTAGTAACACTAAGTGTTGATACTCTCCAATATGCTGTCTACAGTCTGACATATGGTGGTTATCCGAAAGAAGTGAGAATGTGTCACTTTTAAAAATAAAGTAAAATATGCAAGTATAGGAAAGAAAACACCTGGATTAAAAAGTGTGGTTTAAAGACTGTAATATCCTTCTAAGACAGAAGTTTAACACACATGTTAGAAGTCACAATTGAATTAAATGTATATTCCATTGCTCCCAACAATTTCAGCTAGTTTCTATTTTTTGGACAAGTTAAAAGTTAATCACTTTGATTTTTATTCATATCTAAAGAAATTGAGAGGTATTTATTGGATATACATTTGACATAGAATAGAAAGAAAAGGTCCTTAGTTAACAGCTTTCAGTGGTGTTACTATTCACGGCTCGCTAGAGATGTTGTCTTTCTTCATGCACACCTAAACTGTGCTTAAATAATTATACTAACGATACAGAGGATAATAATACCATATGCATTTTAGTATATTCCTAAATATTTCTATGCTTTTCCCAAAATTTAGGGAGAAGGATGAAAAATCATTGAGATATAGTACAGAAAGAGTCCCTGAGCACTCCTGGGGACTGTCACTAGCAAATGCAACTCATTTACATAGCTGAAGAGGTAATACTGAGTAAAGACCCAGGATACCTTCTGGAAATGTGTTTGTATTCTGTAATTCATAAGCTACTCTTCAGTTCAAAAGTAGGGAAAAGTGATGCTTTGAATCTGTCATGTATTATTGTTTTGAACGTTTTGACACATTTTACTCAATTTATACTTTAGTTTGCACAGTCATATGATAAAAGTATTCTCTCAAGTGTCTCTAGTGCTCTGTGAATTTTTTTAGACTTCTCATAATGTCACAGTTGATTATGATCTCACAGGACAAAGTATCATCTGTTTAAGAGGAAATCACGAGCAAACGCTTCTTTCCTACTCCCTGATGACATGAGGTATTTTTCTACGACTGATAACCAGTGTATATGAGTGATTTGTGTAACATATCAATAAGTACAGTACTTGAGTGTTCCCTTGTAGAGATCTATAACTGAGGAGAGCTAATTTACAGTCAGCTCTGTGAGCACAGGAACCAGATAAGGAAACCAGCATATATTAAACTGTTAAAACATGAGATCGTCCATATTAGATATGAAGCAAAATACAAACTGTGCAGTTGACTGGAAATGCCACCTAATCCCTGCTTAATTAAAGCAGTACTCTAAACTCCTGCTGTGTTTAGGGAGTGCAGAGCGTGGGATGACTGATGCATAAAGAAAATAGCAGCCAGCGTGGCTAATCTCGAAGACTTTGGGGCTTTCTAGCTACATAAATCAGAGAGACTTTTGAATAGCCTCATAAAACACCGTAGCATTGCCATTCCACTCACGACTTTTTGGTTCTTCCTACAGCATGCCAATCATTAGAAAACTTCCATGCAATCAAGTAATGTGGGTCTGATGAAATTACTCAATCAATACACAGCCTCAAAGTAGAAGCATAATTCAAAACTGTGTAGTTTTTATGTTAAAAGACTTTTCTTTCCTCAGGTCAAAGAAGAGCTCAATGAAAGCAATTCATCTCTAAACCGTGTGTGTGTGTGTGTGTGTGTGTGTGTGTGTGTGTGTGTGTGTGTAGGGGAGGGGAGAAAGATGGAAGGGGAAACATGTAAATATTAAGTATTTAACAGAAATTCGAAGGAATTACAGTATCTTGGGTATTAAGTGGAATAAAATAAACACATTTTCATTTCATCCATTATGGTTTCACTATTATATCTCACCATTATAGTAAACTAATGCTTAATAAAACAGATTTTAAAATAGCTACTTGACTTTATTAAACCTCCTGCATGAAGTAAAAATAGAGAAAGACAGGTGAGAATTTTTAAACTACACATGAAGTAGTTCAATACCAACAGAATTCGATATCTAAAAAACCTATTACAGCAATGTCTTTAATCTTTCCAGTTTGCCTGAACTACCTAATGCAGCTACTTTCTGCTTGAACACATCGCATCAGGCTGGGAGACCTTTCATTTCTGCATATCTACTTAGATCTCTACATCTGAAATATTTCCTTTCCCTACAGTGTCATCACTTTCATCCCTTTAGTCCTGAACGAAAACATTTCATCCTAATCGTATTTCTCACACTGAATGTTTAACTGAAAGCATTCACCTCCTAAGTAAAATTCTCTTTCTCTACTCAACCAAGTAAACTAACGCAAGGCATGTTAACTGGTATCTGGCAGTCTCACTAGGGATGTTAGTTTGATTCATCATACTTTTGCTGAAATTCGGGGAAGGGAAGGCTGGGTAGTTAGGCTCTGAAACAAACACAATTTAGCCATTTTCAGTATATTACAAAAAATATGAAGTTTTCTGAGAAAACAGGCTTCACTGCAATTCTATGTAGTCTAAAACAAGCTAATTCTCCTGTGTAATGCACTAACTGCATTCAATTTAAATTGTCTAAGAAGTAACTATGTCCTTTGGTAGGATGTACATAGTTAATGTATGCATCTAGATTGCCGAGGAGATATTTAATTAGTACATAGCTTATTTTTTATAAAAATCTGTGGCTATAAATAAGCCGCGTCACACTGACACACAATAGTATGCAAAGGGAAAAATACATCAACTGTGTTCTATTTTGAAACAAATGCCCAGACTGCATTACAAGATAGTATTCATCTACTAAGGACAGAAGAGCTGTGCATGTTTGTAAATAATGTATTCATCACGTACGCCACCGACTAAGCAATAAAGCAGCGTTTATTTACAAGCCTTTCCTCCTGAACGATAGAAAGCATAAGTCAGAAATCCCTAATCATAAAATGAATATAAAGGTATGACGAATATACACCTGCAGTGTTGCTCCAGGCATTCTTAAGGAGACAAAATTGTACGTCCTTGCTTTAAAAGGGGCATAGTTCATTTCCAAACTCTTACCAGAGAATCGCTAAATCCCTCCCAGAGATCATAATCTCTCCCTGAAAACTTCTGCCCCACAGCAGAAAGGGATCCAGCGGGCAAGCTACCTAATGCGTTATTTACTTAATGCACAAGTGCAAGGCTGTCTGAAGCCTGACCTCATTACCCCGTGCACAGACACAGTCCCCAGTTGCACAGTGGCGATGGAGGCGCGGGCAGACATGTTGACAGAGGGCGCGGAGCCAGCGAGGGTCTGGCCGCTGCAGACCGCGCACCAGACAGAAGCCCTCGCTCGTTGAGGGCGCCGCCGCCACCTGCAGCCGGCCTGCGAGCGTGCGCGTGTGCGTGTGCGTGTGAGTATGCGCGCGCGTGTGTGCGCGCGCAGGATGCACGGTGAAGGGGTAAGGGGACAGAAAGGAGAGAAGCTGTGGCCCATCTGTCTCCTGGAACAGCAGAACACCAAGCCGTATGGATGGATAAAAGCCCTATGCCCAGAAAAATTCCCCACGCGTGGCCTTGGTGCCGTCCACCAAACGAACCTGTGCTCGCCCCGGGAAGAAGGCGAAATTTCCGCAAGGGAAATCGTCGCATGGACGCGGAGAGGGCTGCGGAGCGGCTCCCGCCCGGCCCTGCGGCTTAGCGAGCCAGCAGAGTTGGGCCCCGGCCGCGAGCCCGCGTGACAGTGGCGCGCAGCCCCTCGCGCGCGGCCCAGCCTGCGGTGGCCGGTAGGTGGGGCCGAAGCACCTAGGCGTCCCGGAGCTCGGCTCCTCGGGGCCCCGCGCCGGTGCACCCCACCGGGCGCGGCGACTCCAAGTTCGCTTCCCGCGGGGCCTCACGCGGCCGGCCCGGTGTCGCCCAGGGCTCGGCTGCCCGCCTCTCCCGCCCCGGCCCGGCCACTCCACGCGGGACCGCGGGGCCCGGGGCTCCAGGCTGGGGACGCCCGGCACCCCGCAGCCGCGCACTGCGCCCGCCTGGCGACTTCGCCGGCTCACGTTGCCGAACCACCTGTTCGATCCGAGGGGCGCCCCGCACCCCGATCCCTGCTAACACAGGTGACACCGCCCGCGTCCCCTCACTCATTTTTTTTCCCCAAATGGAGCAAGTGTACATCCGGGAGAAAGATGGAAGGCTGACTCAATTAAACTTCCTCTGCCCGCACACTTGCGGCCCCGCACTCCCCAATCCCGCGCGCAGAGCTCAGCCCGAAACGCCCACGTTCGGCTCCCGCTCCACCGGACCACGGTGCTGCCGAGCCCACGCGGTGGCGGGGACGGCAGGAGGAAGGGGGTGGCGAGCCTAGCCGCCGCCGCCGAGCACCCGAGTGCGGAGGGCAGCGGGAGACGTCTGCGAGGGCGCCCGCGAAAGTGTCCCCGCGCGGCATCTTTCTTACCGATGTGAATGATCGAATCCGCATTTGCCGAATCCCAGGTTCGAGACCACCAGACGGACAAAACCAAGAGCACGGGGAAAACTTCCATCTCCTCCTATGCCGATCCCTCTTGAAGGATGATGTTCTCCCAATATTTCAAAAAAAAAAAAAAAAATGCAAAAATAAAGAGAACCAGTCCGAAGAGTTTGAGGTCACGATAGAGTTTGGCGCAGCTTCTTCTCCCGCTGCAAATTCCAGGCGCGAGGGATCCGCGGTCCTCGCGGAGGGCGGCGAGGGGAAGTGGGGGCCGGGGACCTCCTCGCCGAGCCGAGTCACTTGGAGGGGAATTTCGGCCTCGCCAGAGTTGTTCCCAGTTCGGCTTTAGAAAGGAGTCCGGCTGGCGGCGGGCAGGGGGCGAGGCTGCGGCTCCGCGCGGGGTCGCGGGTCCCAGCGCCCCGCCGTCCAGCGCCCCCTCGCGCCGGATGCGCCCCCCGCGCCGGCCCGGCCAGACCCGGAGAACCGCGGGCTGCGCCGCCTCCGGAACCGAGTGCGGGGCAGAGGAGGCGACTCGCGGAGCCCCAGACCCCGGCGGGGCGGGGAAGCCCTCTCCGGAGGGTGGAAAAAGTGAAGTTGGCGGCGGCGATGCGACGGGGAATGCGGAGCGGAGCCCCTTCCTGCGCGCGGCGGCGGGCGCGGGGCTGGCGAGGCGGAGACGGGAGGCGCGGCCAGGCCGGGAGCGCGGCGCCGCGGGCTGCGGGAGCTCGGAGCCTTCCCGGGCGGGATGCGGAGCGGGAGGAGCCCGCGGCTTCGGCGCCAGCCCCGCGTTGCCTGGAAATGGATCACCTAGGAGAAGGAGCGAGCCCGCGAGAGAGAGCGCGGGGCTGTCAGGCGGAGAGGGGAAGCCGATAGTGGAAGAGCCTCTCTCTAATAACCGCCTCCTCCCCCTATCTGCAATACGAGGGAGAAACAAAATAGTGTCTCATTTCCCTTGGAATCTTCAGCCGGGACTGAGAAAAAGGCAGGACTGTAAGAGAAAAGACGACGGAGCCCCCCGCCCCCCTTTTTCCATTTACGAGGTTAAAAGCAACCCAGAAAAGCCACCCCACTTATTTAACCTTGCTGTTCTCCAACAGGTATCAGACTTTTTTCTAGTCTTTGCCTGGAATTAGTCACATTGGTTGAAAACAAATTAGGGACATCTAGTCACTTAGGGAAAAGGAGACCTAGAAAGCTTTTAATGAGATTTCAATTATAAAGTTATAAAAAGCAAAGAACGTGCTAATTACCTTTATACACTAATTTTTTTTAGATCCCCAGTGTATGTGTTTTTTAGGCAATCAGCATACAGAAAGAATCCAGATATCCTGTTCTGTAGATACAAACCTATACAACAGAAAAAAAAATCGTGAAATTCGAAAAGAATGAATAAAACAGAAAAAATACATCAGTGAAACACTTGGGCCAAATATTGCGGAGAATAGCATCATAACCCATACTGATAAATTCAGAGCGGGGAACTAGACTGTCATCCATGGGTAGAGCTGAAGATGTACTGAGTGACAGCCACTGGTCCCTCTGAAAGGACATTCTGCACGCTTATTCTTTAATGTGAATTCTGGTTGCTGGGACTTCATTCCTTTCAATGAACTTAAACATTTGACTTTATTACAGATTGCAAATTTGTGAGCACTTCAAGTGCTCAGCTGAGGTCAGGCATTGACACTCCCAATATTATTTCTATTGTAATTATAATCCTTTGGGAAGTTGTTATTTTGGTTGTGTGGATATCAAACCTTTTGACAGCCCCTCTGTAACAGGGGCAAACGTCTTCATCTTCTTATTCTCTTGAATGAAACTTTCTGTCTTCCTTTGGAGAATTGGGTCATTATTCCTGCAAATACAATTATACGTTTTATTCTCTGTAAAATACTTTCAATCATCTTCTTTATTTTTTCCTGAATATTCCAGAAAATTTTGTAAAATGCTACTGTGGCTTGCGTTTACAGCTCTGGGAAGACCTACACATCTCCAGTAGGTCCCTCTCTTTCACCAAATCAAGGACGAGTTCAATTTTCTTTTGCCCAGGAAGTGGATTACATTCCTTTCATGTGGAATAAATCTCACCTTTCACTGTTACAGTGCATTGCCTGGAAAGGACAGAACAGAGCTTTTGCACAATGTATATAGTTGAGCATTTTGAAAAGATGCCCCTTCATCTACTAGAATTTCACTTCCTGCTGAATCTGAAACAAAGCAGTGGTGCCTGGAAGCCTCCACGGATTTTGTTTTTCTAAGCAATTGTAATCATTCTTTTATCTGTTTCCCTCAGTAGTACACATGAAAACAATATTGACTATATTTATGTTATTACTGATGTCAGTTTACTGTGCATTAAAGAGTTCTAATGCACTTTCATGAATTACACTTTGTTGATACAGATTTTTTTTAAAGTGGACTGGTGTTGCACAGCTTGCTTCTGTCATTCACATGAGCTCTATGAAAGCGGATTAATCACTTTGTAGTCTATCAAGAAAAATTCTTAACTAGCCATTTAACATGGAAAGAACACCATATCTTAAAATCAGAGAGCAAGTTAGAACCTCGAAACAATAGCTGGCTCAATTATTAATGGTATTTGTGGAGACACCTATCTATGATCATGTTGCTATCATCTTCCTAGGCGACCTGTGTTCATGAACTGTAAAATATTTTGATTATTCCTAAATCTTTCGATTTAATGATGTTTCAAGGTCAATTCAAATTTTGAATAGCTTGGGAGGTATTTCAGCTTGGATCACTTAGGATGAATTTAATCTACACCTCTCTAGTCAGGGTCTGACCTATGTTGTGTATTCAGTATTCCAAAATAGAAAAAGAGTAACCACTGTAGGTGACTCTAATATGCAGCCATAATTCAGAATTGCTGTTCTAATATGTATACATTTGAAGGAATCTGGATAACACATGACAAAACCTCTTGGAGGTATCAAGATCACTACTACCAATCAGAAGACAGAGTTGAATGATGAATTTAAAATCTCCAAAAAAGAAGAAAATGCAAAATTAAAATTAATATTGGTTTATTGATTTCCAGTGTAAGAATAATAATCTTTTCACTGTCTAAATAATTTCTATACTTAATATATCCTAATTAATTTTGTTGCAAGGCATCCAAGTTTAACCAGACTTTTAACAATGCATTAATCATGTTCTATTATTTTAGAAAATCACATTTACTATTATGTAATATCCAGTCATCTGGAAACAAAAATTTATAATGTGCATCTTAGATATTAAATTTTAGAAGAGAAAAAAAGTGACAATAGCACTGGCTGTGTTTTTTTAATGATTGTATTTTTCAATGAAGGCTGTCTGTTGGTCTCATCAAGGTTGCCTAGCTTTAACTTAAACATTATCACACAGGAATGGCTGATGCATCTGTCTGCTATGCTAAAACTCAAACTTTGTAAAAATTTACTAAATTCACTCAGGTTTTCTGTTAAATAATTCTTCTTAATTCTTTGGAAGAAAAATGTTCCAGAACCATGCCATGAATTTATTTTCCAAAGTTGAGACTTGTGCTTCATTCGGGAATTACTTGCAATATAAACATGAAATATCTTCAGAAATTGTAGATAATTTAAATAGTTTTAAGATGTAAATTATAGGGATATTTTTAATGAAAAAAATAGAATGTCAGAGAATTTTCATTGGTGGAATTGGTGGAATGACTGTAAGTACAGGCACATTGAATAACATATAATTGTGGGGAAAAAAGCAAGACAATAGAAATAACTGAAATATAGCATTCTTTCATTTTTAGCTAAAAAACATTAAGAATACCAATATTCACATTTTAAAGATCAGCTGCTCACTATTATAACAGTAGTAAGTCAACTTACATGAGTTAGTTTTTAAAATCTCCAATAATAATTCAATACTTTGAGATTTTAGTATAAAAATCTATATATTTATGAAAGCCTACTTGAAAAATTAAGTGAAAAATTAGCTTTCAAAATTATATAACAGAAAAAACAATAAAAATGTGATTATTTCTAATTCTCTAAAGTTGTATCATTAACATAAATGTGGCTAGCAGCTGGCAGTATTCTAAGCACCTTAGAACTTTACATTAATAAGTATGGAAGTAAAATTATAAATAAGCAATGATCGAGCATCTGTAGTAGGTATTTGTAAATGATAAATAATAACTAAAAACAGTATTTGTAAAAATGAAAAGTATAGGGGCTGGGAGTTTAGCTCAGTGGGATAAGTGCCTGCCTGGCAAGTGCTAGGGTTGTGAGTTCAATCCCCAGCACCAAAAAAAGTAAAGTATAAATTATCCTTGATTGAAAGGATGAAGGGGGAAATCTGTTCTTAGTAGATCATAGAAATTTACAACAGAATGGAAGTTTAGGAGCTCTTCCTCAATGCTTTCTTTTTCCAAAAAAGAATAGGGAAATTGATGGCCAGTATTATAATTATATTTGATAGATGACTTGCTGTTAGAAAACATGGATTCTTAGCTTTTAACTAAAGCTCACAAAAGTCATTAAGTCATGCATTTCTATATAATATTTCTTCTTTCCTTCTTTTTTTCTTCTAAATTATTCTATTTCTTCTTTCTTTTCACACTTTCCCTGAATTTATGAAACAATAATGCTAGGAAAATACTTTTTCCTAACTCATTGAAATGCAAACTGCAACCAAATTCTCCAACTGGATAAATCCATGAACAAGAATATTTTTACCAAATTCATCTACTATTGAGCAAAAACTGAATTTCAAAACTTTTTTTCATTTAACACATAGGATCCACAACACTGAAATTTTAGAAACAGTGCCTCAGTTGTATAGATTTGCAGATTTCTTTCAGTTGCCACGTTCCTCTGTCTGAAGGTCAATGTGGCATTTCATAAGAAATATTAATAAACATGAAACAATTGGTTGATGGAAGTCAAAGGATAACAGGTATCCAAAAGGGGAGCTTTGTTGAGATTGACCCCTCACTACATTATATCCAGTCCCCACAAGATGGCAGCCATGCTTGAGGTAGAGTTAGTTTACTTCTTGAATGTCTCAGTGCCTAACAGCTTCCCCCCAATATTAATGATTCATCCTAGTTAGATACCCATGAGGAGGCAAACAGTAGCTTACATAATTTTCATGTTGGTTGTTTGGT